CCACAAGGGGGCCCCTGTTGGGGGCCCGGGACACGGCGCAGAGAGCGCTGCTGCTGCAGCCGCGCTGCTGCTGCAGCAGCAGCAGCAGCAGCTGCTGCTGCTGCTGCTATTCACTGTCAGATGATGCTGCTGCCTGCTGCTTGGCCTCTGAGTCCCTCAAAAGAAAGCCCCAGTCGCTGCTTTCTATTTCTGCTGCTGAAGGGGAAAGAGCCAAAAGGGCCCTGAGGGCCCCCCGCCGCTGCTGCAGCAAACGGCTGCGGCGCTGCTGCAGGCGCTCGCGGCGCTGCAGCAGCAGCAGCAGCGGCAGACACAAAAGAGACATATGAGACAAGGACACAAAAAAATGAAACAAGGGAAAAGGTAACAGGGGAAGTGGAAAAGGTAAAAAAAGAAAGAAAAAACGGAAATAAAGAATGCCGAGATTGTTTAAAAATGATAAAAGAAACAAAAAGAATAAAAGATAAATGAAGACAAAGAGAATAAAAAGAAGACAAAGGAAGCTGCTAGGGATGGAGAGGCAATCGGGAAGCAAATGGAGCCCAAGAGCAGCAGCAGCAGCAGCAACAGCAGCACCAGCAGCAGCAACAGCAGCAGCAGGGAGAGGGGCGGCAGTAATGGAACACACCTGAAAAAGAAAAGAGCAAATCTGCTCAGAGTCAACAGCAACAAAAGCCTCCCCAAATAAATACCAGTCCTCCGTCAGCGCGCAAGTCTCTGCCATCCTGCTGCTGCTGCTGCTGCTGCTGCTGCTGCTGCTGGGGAGCGCACGGCCGGCTTCGCCCCTTCTGTAGGCCCCCAGGGCCTCCCGCAGCTTCTCCAGCTGCTCCCCGACAGCAACCAGCAGCTGCAGCGAACACAAACCCTGAACCCTAAACCCTAGCGTCCCGAAGAACCCTAAAATGTAAACCCCAAACCCTAAACCCTAGACTGTAGAGGAAATTCTGAACACTGAACCGCCCACCCAGTCTGCTCTTAACTCTGCTAGAGGGGCAGCAAGCCACAAACCTTAAACCCTGCCATGGCCCGAAACCCTAGCTCTAGCCCTAAACCCTAAACCCTAGCCCTAACCCTAAACCCTAGCTAAACCCCACCTTGTTTAGAAATAAAACCTTTTCTGCAGCAATGTTTAGCTGCAGAAGACGCTGGGCGTGGGGCGACGCGCAGCTGGTGAGATCCCCAGGCAAGAATGAAGCCATTGTGAAGCGGGGCTGCAGCTAGGGTTTAGGGTTTAGGGTTTAGGGTTTCGGATTAAGGGTTTAGGGAATATCCCTTGAAAACTGAAGGCGGCAGATACCAAGGAAAGATGAAAAGGAGAAGAGCAACAGAACGCTACCGCCGAGCGCCCAGCCCCTACGTACATTTAGAGTTTAGGGTTTAGGGTTTAGGGTCTAGGTCTGTATTTCGAAGCCGAAAAAGAGGTTTTGTTTTCCATTTCTGCGCAATATAGCAAACACCTTCAGCTGTACATACACTCCGGAGCCCTCAAGGGGCCCCTACTGGGGGCCCCACTGGGGCCTTCAGGGGGGGCGCCCAGGGTCCCCCCGAGTGACCCCCTATGCTTGTTGCAATGTGAGAGAGAAACTCTGAATAAACCCTTTTATGCAAAAATGTGCTGCTTTTTATTGACACCAGAAACCCTAAACCCTAAACCCTAAACACTAAAGCTGCAGCCCTAAACCCTAAACACTAAAGCTGCAGCGTAAACCGTCGGCTGCATCCTCAGCAGCGGCGAGCGACTAGGGTTGTAGGCATAGAAGCTCCTGCCTCCTGGATCTTTGTTGGCTAAATTTAGAGTTTAGGGTTTAGGGTTTGGGGTTTAGGGTTTTAGGGCTTGGGGTTTTGGGGTCGTGGCTCGAGCTGCACAGCAGGCCCTTCTGCTGTTGGGGGCGGTCAGCATAAACCCTAAACCCTAAACCCTCATTTGCGCTCATCTACTGTGCAGCTGGGCCTTCAGCTAGCTGCAGCGCTAGTTAGCTGTGGAGCTAGCTATTTGCCTAACTGGGGACTGAGCCCCTTGCTAGCTACCCAGCTAGCTGGCTAGCTGGCTAGCCAGCTACCTCGCTATATGGCTAGCTAGCTAGCTGGCTAGCTAGCTAGCTGCTTAGCAGGTTAGCTAGGTAGCTAGCTAGCTAGCTAGCTGCTAGCTGGAAATAGCCGAACACCTCATGCCCTTTGTGCATGCATTGGCTTGCGGCACTTCTGCTGCTGCAAACAGCAGCAGAAACTGCTGCGGCGTTTTGAGGGTTTAGGGACTGCCCTCAGCAACTGAAAGAGGAGGGTTTAGGGTTTGGCCCAACAAAGACTAAGCAAGGGTTTAGGGTTTGGCCTCGACAGCTGAAGCCGAGGGTTTGGGGTTTAGCTCTCTCAGGCTTTGGGGTTTAGCCCACTTGCTGAAGGTCCCTAGCTTTCTAGTTTGTGTAAATTGTGAAAATAAAAAGCAATTTAAATTTGAAAATGCTTTTATAATAGACAAATACATTTTATATTCATCAAAAGATAAGTAAGTCTAAAGACATGCAGCAGCAGTGTCTGCTGCAGCAGCTGCTGCTGCAGCAGCTTCTCAAGCTTTAGCTGCTGCTGCAGCTAAATAGGAGGCCAAAGACGAATGGAAACGGGGAACTGACAGAATTGAAGCCAGTTCAACATACAGCAAAAGCAGCAGCAGCAGCAGCAGCAGTGGCAGCAGCAGGTGCTGCTGCTCTGTGTCTTGCGGTACTGGCAAGAGAAGCACAAGCAGCAACGCTGCTGCTGCTGCAACATCTTGCGGGCTTACACAGAAGAGGGGACGTTCTGGCGCTGCTTCTGCAAGCGCTGTCTGCTGCTGCTGCCACAGCAGCAAGAGCAGCAGCTGCTGCTGCTGCTGCTGCAGGAGCAGCAGCAGCTGCTGCTGCTCGCGCGACCTTGATGACTACCGCTTCGAGTTCATGCTGCTCTTGCTGATCCTACTAGTGACTGAGGCCCAAAGAAGAGACAAAAAACAAAAAGCAAAGACAAATAAATAAATGAAAAGGCAAACGAAACGCAGCAGCAGCAGCAGCAGCGGCAGCAGACGCCCCGTGGCTTACGCAGTTGAGTCTTGTCTTTGAAATAAAGACAAGTTAAAAGGAGAATAACAAAGACAAGAGGCAGTGCATGGGAAAGGCCTCCTTCTTCTGCTGCTGCGGGGGCCACTTGCTGCAGCAGCAACGGAGGAAGGCCAGCGTCGCTATTTGCTGCTGCTACAAGCGACAAGTGGTGGTGGCCCCCAGCCGAGATAGAAACGGGGGCGGACCCCACCAGCAGCAGCTGCAGCAAACAGCAGCAACAGCAGCAGCAGCAGCGGTGGCAGATCTTAACAGGGAGTAGGGACAGCTGCAGCAGGAGAAGCAGCAACGTGCAGCACACGGCAAACCCCTCCTGCTGCTGCTGCTGCTGCAGCAGGGGCAGAGGCACCGGCAAGTGTGGGGCCCAACAGGCAGTAGGAAGGGCGAAGAGAGGAAAGAATGCATTAAAGGCACAGCACATAAAAGAGGGGAAGAGCAGCAAAAGAAGAAGCAGCAAAAGACAAAAATGCAAGAAGTGCTGCAGCACCTTGCTGCCCTGCAGCGGCCACAAAGAGCCTGGGGAAGTTCGCGACAGCAAAAGGGCCCCTCTGTAGCTGCCTGGAGTTAATCCTGAGAAGATGCCGAAGCCTGCTGGCAGCAGCCGCAGCAGCAGGGTACCTGCGGGCAGCAGCAGGGGCTTCTCTGCTGCTGCTGCTGCTGCTGCTGCTGCTGCTGCTTCTGCAGCCGCTGCTGCCTGGGCTTCGGCACGCTGCGGCTCCACCGGCAGCAGTAGCAGCACTAAGGTTGCCTCTCCTGCAGCAACTGAAGACAAGTCTGTCTGCAGGCCAGCAGTAGACACGGAAAAAGTTGCTGCTGGAGGCAGCAGCAGCAAGAAATCCAGGCCTGAGGCAGACGCAGAAATGCACGAACAGCAGCAAAATGAAGAGCAGTCCCGGCTGCTGCAGCAAAAGAAAAAGCACCAGCAAAAATGAGGAGCAGCCGCGGGTGCTGCAGCAAAAGAGAAAGCAGCAGCAAAAGGAAAAGCTGCAGCGGCTGCTGCAGCAAAAATGACAGCGGCAGCAGCAGCAGCAAGTGAAAGAAAAACTGGAGAAGAGAGGCAGAAGTAATGCACTTGGCGATGAAACAAAGAGACAATTTAAATAAAAAGAGAGACCAAACGGAAAACATTGCAACAAAAGCTGCGGCGAGGAGCAAATTCGTTAAAATCGATGCCCGGCGGCGGCGAGCAGCAGCAGCAGCAAAACAGGCCGCAGCAGCAACAGCAGCAAAACAGGCCGCAGCAGCAGCAGCGGCAAAACAGGCCGCAGCAGCAGCAGCAGCAGCGAAAGAGGCCGCAGCAGCAGCAGCAGCAGCAAAACAGGCCGCAGCAGCAGCGAAACGGGCCGCAGCAGCAGCAGGTGCAGAAAAACAGACCGCAGCAGCAGCAGCAGCAGAACAGGCCGCCGCAGCAGCAGCAGCAAAACAGGCCGCAGCAGCAGCAGCAGCACACTCGCCTTCTTTGTCTTCTTTGCCCAGGACAATCTGCCTCTTGGGCGGCTGCACAGCAGCTGTCTGTACACCCCACGGGCCCTCCAACCCCACTTCATATTCCGTCCCTCCCCGAAGTCCCCGCAGCGCAAAACGGCCCCAGACGTCTACTCCACTCGTCTCCCGATCCCCACTGGAGCTTGCTGCCTGCACCGCAGCAGCAGCAGCAGCAGCAGCAGCAGCGGGCAGTGGAGAGGGTGCTGGCGTACTTGAGGGCGGAGAGCCGGGAGCTAGTGACTGGGCCTGTGTGTGGCGGCGTGGCTGCTGATGCTGCTGTTACTGCTGCTGCTGCTGCTGCTGCTGCGTCTTACGTAGACTGTGACGGCTTGGTGTGCGTCCTGCGCGCCCCCCACAATGCGGACAGTGCCTGTACAGTCGAAAGCTGTTTTCGTGGCTTTCAGGTGTACGTAGAGCTCCTGGCCCTCAGCCACTTCCAAGTCCATTTGGGGAGGAGAAAAGGCGTGGCTGCGGAGTGCAGCACGGAGTGTGTAGACACCTGGAGGCAGCAGCGGGAAGGTGGCGGTCCCGCTGGCGCTGCTGCGGCGGCGCTGCCGCTGAACCGCGCCGCTGCTGCTGCTGCTGCTGCTGCTGCTGCTTGTCGGCTCTTTCTCTGTCAGAGTCACCACGGCGCCCCCTAGTGGAGCGCCGGTCTCATTAAGAGAGACAGAAGCTATCACAGTGGCCAGTCTGAACTCAAAGACACGCAGACAGCTTCAAACCCTAAACCCTAAACCCTAAACCCTAAACCCTCGACGCTTATCGCGTGGGTACGACTGCGGGATGCCGCCGCTGCAGCGTAGCACAGGCAGCTGCAGATGCCCACTTGGTGGAAACCACGCGGAAATGTTCTTCGCCTTCGCCGCCCTTTCCTGCTGCTGCTGCTGCTGTTGCTGCTGCTGTTGCTGCTGCTGCTGTGACTTCCTTGAAGGCAAAACCCTCCCGCTGCACCCTAACCCGGATTTGGTCTCTGGGGGGCAGCGCGCTGCAGCTGAGGACAGGAGAAGCAAAT